AATTACTTATGTTCCACGAATATCCTACTTAAATAAAGGACAAAAAAAAAGCAGTTTGTCTTACAGTAACGGGTCTAACGGGGCAAAGACGCGCGTAACTTAAGACGCCGGGTTATTACAAATATAGGTTGCGGTTTGCCTGAGTTTACAATTAAGGGAATCTTGGCTGAAAAGCAGTTCAAGTTCCAGAGTATACCTAATGATTCCTTTTAACTGATCCTGGGGCTTTAAGTTGATATCTCTGTAAGTGGTTCGAATACGAGGTGTTTGGTTTTCAGTTTAAATCATCTGGGCGTCGCCATGTTTATTTTATGGTAATTTATGACGTCATTGCACGGTAAGAGATCTCAATATGGAGTCTGCAGAAGAAGATTTCTCGTTGGAACCGAATATAATTAAAGCTTCACCTGGAATGTGAGTTATAAACGATTGGAAGCACTTTTATATTTCTAGATTCACTCAATGCTGTCTTTGAAAAATGTCCAGCTGCGCATTGACGTCATAATCTCCAATCAAGCTGTGCAAAAATAAACATATTATCTCATATCCCATAAGCGCCAAGGGAATAGTTTTTTAAAAAAAACGCCCCCAAAATATAGGAAACTAAAATAAAATGAAATGAAAACGCCCCAAAACATTACTCGTGCGCTTACCATATTAATAGGCCATTGTTGAATTGTTCATATACCTTGAAGGCTGAGCCAGTGAAAACTCTTGAATTGCATCATCCGGCCAATTATCCAGCAGACCACGGCAGAATTTCCATTCCTTGTCTCTTTCCACTTGAACGAGGTTAGTTTACAAATTGTTGTTTTGTTTTTATTCAGGTTAGATGATGTCCCACCATGTCCGGCTCAGCAGGCGTTGCTATAACAACAGTACTCTCCATATTCGTTATTTTAGGTATCGTGGGAAACTCTCTGGTGTGTGCGATCATAAAAAAGAATCGAGATATGAGGTATTCGGAGAAAATCACGTTGTGTATACTTTATTAAAGGTATTCAGTGGGAGCATGCTCAAACAACTGAGGATAGATTTAATAAAACTTTTGAAACAAAA